TTTTTTTTTTTTTTTTTTTTTGAGACAGAGTTTCACTCTGTCGCCCTGGCTAGAGTGCCATGGCGTCAGCCTAGCTCACTGAAACCTCCAAATCCTGGGTTCAAGAAATCTTCCTGCCTCAGCCTCCCAAGTAGCTGGGACTACAGGCATGTGCCACCATGCCCGGCTAATTTTTCTATTTTTAGTAGAGACGGGGGTCTCACTCTTGCTCAGGCTGGTCTTGAACTCCTGAGCTCAAGCGATCCTCCTGCCTCGGCCTCCCAGAGTGCCAGGATTGCAGGCGTGAGCCATGGTGCCCAGCCTTAATTTTCATATAATAAAATTTGTTCCTTATAGTTCTATGAGTTTTAACAACCACATATAATAGGACACATAGTTTTTTGTTTTAACCGAAAAAGGCATCCATCCCATTGCAGATATTGGCTGGAAATTGCTTCTTACACTTAATGTATCTCATGTCTTTCCATGTGGGTACATTACCAGTGCTGTGTTGGAATTAGCTCATACCAGCTTGCAGTAGTCAGTTGTGTGCATCTCTTCCCAACTCTGAATTCAGTAGTGTTCAGTAGCGTTCAACAACATCAAATTGGTATCTTGAAATCTGCCGTGGTGGGAGTAGTTACATCATCAAAATTGGCAAATGCTAGAAATCAGGAATCCCCTCTACCCCAAAAAGCTGGTCATTAAAACATATATCACTACTGCACCACTGCATATAGCTGTCAACCTTTTAAGAGAATAATAGTCCATTACAATGATGTGCCATCATTTATTTGATCATTCCATAGGATATTTCTTAAATTCATGCTCATCTTGGGAAAATACAGACAGCAATTTAATTCACTATGAAGTAGAGTAAATAAGTAGCAGAGGAAGAGGCTTATTTTTTTTTTGCCCACCCCACCACCCTCCCAAGTGCCCTCCCTCCAGCTGAGGAAGAAGTTTAAATCCATAGTCAATGAGGCATTAACGACAGCAACAGTTCAATTATAGCATCAGTGAGTGTTGACATAGAGATAAGAACATACTTTGGCATATTTCAATGTGCTGCAATGGGGAAAGAAGATTTTCTCTAAAAAGAATTCATCCCATACAGATAGCCGCCACAGAATATGGAGCTGTGAAATTATAGTCCTATATTTTCCATTCACTTGCCAATTTTAGCTTTAAGAAATCTCTGTGACTCAAATAAGTGAGTGGTGGGAACCAATGTGGAAATGCAGGATCTCTGAGATGAGCTGAGGAAATTTACTCAGAAATGGAACCGGCTGTCTGTACCAAAAACAGTTGGAGTGTGACTCAGCAGAGGGAGAAAACACAGGTCATGTGGAAGAGCCAGAAATGGAAAACAGTAGGGCAGCTCTTGTTTGCTGCACTGCTGCCTTTGTAAGCCATTATGAACACTAGGCAGATCTTGGCCTGGCTTATTAAACTGATGCCACATTGTCCTGCGTTTAGGTCGTAAGGAAAGATAGGTTTTGTGCCTTAAAGATTATTAGAAAAAGGCCAATAAATCGTTAACTCTAACCCACACTCTTCCTTTTGGCAAGTCTTCGACAGGCACACGTGTAAATCTGGCCAGTCAGCTGAAGTGCAACAAAAATTGCCTGGCTGTGGCTGCCACCTCCACTTCTACTACAGTATTGTCATGCCCCATAGCCTGCAGCCCCAAGTTTATGAAGTAGGCTTAGAGACCAGTTGTACAGAGTTGAGGAGAGAAGTTAGACTTAGCTGCCATTGAGTGAGCATTTTCTGTGCAGCCTATATCTAGTCAGGCCTGTTTCTGAGCTAAATACTTCTTTGAAGCACTGACTCCTTATCTCCTTTTCTAGCAGCTTCTACTGCTGGACCAGGTTGCTCTTGATTTATGCTGCCTGATCCCCCAAGGAAATCGGCTTGATTTTGCCCTCAGAAGTTCTCCCTTCTCATATCTCTACTTAAATGTAAAAATTTTACTCTAAGTGTTGGGTAGTTTTGCCTAACCTTCATTCAATTTTATTTTATTTTATTTAT